AACGAAAATGCACGTGGGGACCAGCACGAATAGGAAGAGATACGCTTTTATGTCGAGCCCGCGAATGAAGCATTTTAATCGGGTCATGGTTAGTGGTCGGCTTGAGTCTGATTCCTGTGGTGTAAGAAATAATAACAGATCAAATGAGATAAAGAAAGTTAAAATGGATGTGTTTTCATGATGTGTTAATAATTTCAATAGACTTTGGTATGGGATGGGTTTTTCGAAGCTCAAGAAAGGTTTTTTAAGTATCCAAATCGAGTATTTCATTGAGAAAGCAAGAAAACAGCAAGTAAACCATTCAAGAGCATATGTTGGCAAAAAGAACCATTCAATGAGCCAAAAACGGAGGATTCGATAAATTGAAAGAAAGCAGAGAAAACTCAATGGATCTTAAAAAATCTTATGTCTTCATTTTTTGATATAACAAATACCATAAAGATGAGAATTTGATCTGAACATGAAGAAAACACAAAACTTTACAAAATCCAAAATTTTTCCTCCAAAAAGAGAGACATAAAATAGAGCATTCAAATTTTATAGTTACCATAAAAAAACACAAAATCAAACCACAAATGTTCCCCCATTAATGCAATTCACCAGAAATTACAGAACAAATAAAACGAAAAATTGAAGATTTTTTTTTTTTTTACCTCACCACAAGCATCACCACAAACATCATCAGATTTCTTCGAACAATAGCGAGATCCACCTTCTCCCATCGTATTCACCTTCTCCCAAAATCTGGACAAACCACACATTCCTCTATCTCAAGCCCCTTTATTTTTCTTCCCTAAATTTTTTCCACAAAAAAAAATAAATTTTCAAACTTTAGATCTCCATCCAGAGTTGAAATTCCAAGAGCCCAGGTCTCAAAATCAGGTCTTTCAATCAGGAAAATGAAGATGGGAAAGAACCCTAAATGCAAAAAATCCAGACCCTCAAAAAGGGGCAAAAAAAAAATCAGAACTTTGAGTGACCCAAAATGAAAAAAGTTGAAATTTTTGAAAAAAAAAAAAAAAAATAAGAAAAACAAAATTATAAAAACCAGAAAGGGTATTTCTGTGTGGTATGGCCTGTTGTGGTGAATGGGTTGGCAGTTGTCAGGACTCTGTAGAATGAAAGCCGTTTGTTTATCTTTGTTTTCTTGTAATAGTTATTACTAGCTATATAGTCAGTTGACGTGGATGTGAGAGATAAGAAAAATAATAATTTTATACTATTGGATCCACATGCTCTCTCACATGATCTTAGGCTACGTGAAATAGATAAGCTATTTGTTAGTAGTTAGTGACTACTCTATCTCCTATTTTATCCCTGTCCACGTCATAATAGCTAGCGAAATAGCCATTGGAGACGCCTTTATTTAGAGCAAACCCTTGTATAATTATCTGTCATTGTTTGGGGCAAAATATGAGGATGGAATGACGAAAATGCCCATGGAATTTTGGATATGAACATGCTACGAAGCTAGAAAAATGGGCCAACTCAAAATGGGCATTTATGGGTCATTATTATGGGCTTAGTCTTTTTGGCGCGTCCATTGACTGGCTCAAGACCTTTGGTGTGTAGGACGGTTGTGTGTATTTTTTTGTTGAGAAATACATTTCACAATTTAATATATTGACTAATTATTAGTACATTTAATAAAAGAGTAGTGTGGAATCCTTTTGTGTTCTTTGAGTTTGTGTTCGTTAATACATGAATCGAATGGGAAAAACCGGGCCGGATTGTTTAATAAACGAGTTAAAAGTTGAGATAAAGCTCGACTTTTGTAAACTCATAAAAGCTCGATTTTGCACAATAATCGAACCCAAAATTGTGAAATGAGTTGTTCCCAAAAGACATTTGTGCGTCTGCAAACATGTCCGTCACAATTGTTCGTACGAGACATAAAACAAAAAAAAATAAGTTCTTTGTGAACGAGTTTAACTCAAGATTTTATGAGGTGAACAGAGTTGTGTTAGCGAACAGTTATGTTCGAATAACATTCTTAACAACAATAATGGACTCAAATAATTAATTAGTCAAATCGAGTCGAACAATTTGTGTTCGATTCGTGGTCATTTAATAAATGAGTCAGTCCGATTCCAGTTCTGCTCGTGAAAGTCTGTCTTTGCCAATTTACCAAAACCAAAACCAAAAAAGTGTTATTCAGGAACACAATTTGTACGTTCGTGAACATGCTCATCTCGACTTCTAATTGAAACTTTTAAAACATAAATATATAATTAAACGATCAATTGGGAACGTTTTAGGATCAAACATTTATAAGTTGAGTTCGTGAACAATTTGATTCGAATAACATCCTTAATTGTAATATTGAAATCAAACAATTAATTAGTTTGAGGATTTAAATGAAATTGAGCTTTTGCATGGACCATATATATAAAAAAGGAATTTTGGAAAACACGGTCCAAGCTGATTACGATGTAGACATGCATATAGCAAAAGTGTTGTATAAGCGTGTTAGGGTTTGATTCGGCCAGCAATTTTGTTGGGGCGGTTTGTAAATTTTATCCTCATTTTTCAACATTTTTTTTTCGGTTGATGATAGTAATTGATTCCTAATTTATGCTTTGTATATGGTTAGCACATAATTGAATTTTTTGCTTGTTTTACTATAAAATAATTTATATTGGTATTGACTTATCAAAGTCTATTCGAATTTAATATAAAGTTCATGTCCTTTACAAAGATGGGATAAAATAAGATAAAAAGATATATTATAATTATTAGTTTATAATGTTTTTTAATGTATTTTACATTTCAGCCTTTAGTCTTCTTGTTATTTACTTTCTTAGCCTACATATAAATAGGAGATTAGGGTTTCCCCTCATTCACTTTTCCTTTTTCTCTTTTCTGAGTGCTGCTCCCTCTCTCAATCTTTCCTCTCGGTTCTTCAATCTTTCCTCTCAAATCATGTACAGATATTATGTTTGATTCAATAAAATTCGATGTTTATGTTGTTAATATGGTATCAGTTACCAGATCATCTCGATCTTGCTAGTTTCCGCTGATTTTTGTTTTTTTTTTTTCGATCGATACTTGTTCGATCTTCTCAGTTTTCGATTTATCTCGTTTGATTTGGTTTCTATTGGTCTTAATCGACTCAGATCTGTGTTCTTCATACAGATTCGCTTCGATTGTTTCCGATTTTACCTAATCAGTTGCTAATTCTGTTCGATTTCTTCACGATGCCTCATCCATCTGACGATCCGACATCTCCTTTCTATCTGCATGCCAGTGATAATCCTGGTGCTGTTATTGTTGCTGAGCTCTTTGCTGGTGACAACTATGTTTCTTGGTCTCGTGCAGTTATGATGGCGCTGAGTGTTAAGAACAAAGTTTCCTTCATTGA